GCTGCAGGCCGAGTACGAGGCACAGGTCAAAGGTGAGCAGGCGCCTGGCAGGTTGTGGGGGACATCGGGGTGAGGAGCCAGCCAGGACAGCCCCCTTCCTTCTCCCTTCCCTGCCCCCTCTTTGGTCTCTGCAGGATGAGGAGGTGGCGCAGTGGGGGTGGCAGTGAGCCGTTTGATCGGACTGGCCCTGGAGCCCTGGCACCTGGCCCCGGGTGCGGGTGGCGTGAATGTGCTAAGGCCCTGTGCAAATCACATGCAAATGAATTGCAAATTTCGGGTGCGGTGACCGAGGGCCAGCAGATGTCCAGCCCCAACATCACTCTGAGCGGCTCTAGTTTCTGCATGGTGGAATGGAGCTGAGAGGTGACCATGGGTCTTCCAGGAGATAGAATAAGGTGGCCCTCGGGGCGTGTGACCCCCCACAGCCCACAGGTGCTGCTGTAATGGAGCAGCGCCTGGGGTTTCCAACCCAGCCCACCCGCTGCCCTCTTGGCAGCTCACGGAGGGCACAGTGGCTCTGCAGGCCTGGGCCCCATGCGACAGGGCTCCCACCCCACTTCCTCAGATGTCGGGGGGCTCGGGCTGTCCAGGGCCCTGTGGTCTGCAAAGCCGGCCGGGTGGAAGGGAGTTGGAGCAAGGCTGCTCCTGCCCTAGGGCACTCCGCTCTCCCACATTTTGGGGCTTCTGAACATGAACATGTGAGACAGGGCTGAGGTCTTGCCACACTTGGTTCTCCACGTCAGCAGAGTGGTGGCTGGGAGGCCATCTTCCTTCTGCAGGAGAAGTGAGAGCCCCCACCGCGCTCACAGGAAGTGTGATGGGAGGCCCAGCTTTACATTCAAAAAGATAATGGGGATTCCAGACTCCTCTTCCTTGTTTTGTCTGATGTTCTGTATACATCTGTTCTGTCCCAGGCCCTGGGAATACACTGCTGTACAAGGGAGAACCACAGGGATGTAGCTCAGTGGCGCCATGCCTGCCTGGCAAGCACAAGGTCCTGAGATAAATTCCTGGCACCAAAGAGAACCACAGCTGGGTGTGGTGGCATGCACCTGTGATCTAGTACTCTGGGAGACTGAGTCAGGAGGATCCCAAGTTGCAGCTCAGCCTAGGCAATTTAGTGATTTAACCAGACCCTGTCTCCAATAAATAACTTAATCAAAAGAGCTGGCCAGGCATTGTAGTGCACGCCTATAATCCCAGCACTCAGGAGGCTGAGGCAGGAGGATTGCTCTTTCAAGATCAGCCTGAGCTACTTACATAGTGAGTTCAAGTTCAGCCTGAACTACACAGTGAGACCTTGTCTCAAAAAACGAAACAAAAAGCAACAACAACAAAAGGGCTGAGATGTAGCTCAGTGCTAGGCCAGAAAGAGAAGAGAGGTGTGCAGACCGGTTCGGTTCCTGCTCCCAGGAGAGAGTGAGACAGGACTGCGGACCTGGGGGCAGGTCAGGACAGGACTCTGAGCTGTCTGGAAGCTGCAGGCAGCTTTCCCTTTTCCCGCTCTCTGGGGATCGCAAATGCAATTGGCTTGAAATTACAGCTCCCAGGCGCCCAGCGGCCAGTGCACATGTCCACATGCCTGGGTGTGGGGCGGGTGGGGAAGTAAACAATGTGGCGGTCGCTGCTCCATTTGCCATGGTTCAGTGGCAACAGGTCCCCAGGGCAGGGGAGGCCAGCTGGGTGGTCTGAGGCCTCTGATGAATGAAATGAAATTTCCATTTATTTATTTATTTATTTGGTTGTTTGAGGCAGGGTCTCACTACGTAGTTGAGACTGACCTGGAACTCACTATGTAGCCCAGGCTGGTCTCGAACTCACAGTGATCCTCCTGCCTCAGCCTCCTGAGTGCTGGGATTACAGGCGTGCGCCACCACACCCGGCCGAAATTTCCTTTTATTTAAAAGATGTTTCCCTGATTCTGTGAGGATGCTCCTGGTTGAAATCACGAACCACAGGAGGTGACAGTTTGTCCAGGGCACCTCTTGCTGTCTCACTGAGTACTTGGGCTCCTGGGCTGGCCCTGCCTTGGCTTCCGGGCTCCTGTTTGCTCAGCTCTGCAGCAGGAGAGCGCCCCGGGGCTGTCCCTAGAGGGTCTAGTGGGCGAGAAGCAGAGGTCAGGCTTGGGCCACCTGGAGTCGGGGACAGAGAGGGCAGTGCCACCCAAGTCCGGCTGGGAAAGGAGAATTGGGGAGGCACACACACCCAGGCAGGTGGAACCCACTGAGGCTGTATGCCCCAGTCCCCAGCCCCTGCTGTCTTCTCCCTGCACCAATGTAGTAGCTGTTCCCCAGCTGCAGGCAGCAGCTAGAATGTCCCACCCAGAGATGGGGACAGAGACTACAGCAGCCTGTGCACCGGAAGCCAGGCCGTGCCTAGGGAGGTTGCAGCAGGTTGCCTAAGGCTTGTGCTGTGAAGGCTTCTGCTCTGGGCCAGCGATAAGGTGTCAAGGGGCATGCTGGCAAGTGGGCGTGGCCTCCTGTGGGGGAAGGGAAGCTAGAAGGTGGGGAATTGGGAGGAAGACCTACCAGGGCCAGTCCTGCTGTCTCAGCCCGGCCACCCCGCCCCCGCACCTTGGGGCTATCTTGTCTGTGCTTTCTTGCTTTCTTCCTTTCTTTTCCTACGGTACTGAGATGAAGCCAAGGCCTTCACACTGAGCTCCATCCCCAGACCTTTTCTTATTTTTCTTTTGAGACAGGATCTCCCTAAATTGCCCAGGCTGGGCTCAAACTTTCAATCCTGCTGCCTCAGTCTCGCTTGCTGGGACCACAAGCCTGTGCCGCCACACCCTACTGGGATTGCCTTTTACACTGGGGCCTGAGGCTGTGGGTTCACTGCAGGTGGCCATCTTGTGCCTGGTGATGGGGCAAGATGGGGCCAGGGTGGCCCTGTGTTCCACCCTTCCTAAATAGCTTCAAGATGGGTGTAGTGTTGCTCGCCTGTTCTCCCAGTACTTGATCAGGCTGAGGCAGGAGAATTGCCTCAAGTTCAAGCCCAGCCTACCCTATAATAGTGAGTTCAAGGCCAGCCTGGGCTACATAATGTGACTCTGTCTCAAAAAAAAAAAGCAAAAACAAAAAAAAAACCCAAACCCCAAATGAACAGAAATAACCAGTCTCGGCTCCCCATTGCCCCTGGGCCTTTGCACGGCCCTCGCCTCACCCTGGGACACCTTGCTCTCACCCTGCCCCTCAGCACAGAGCCCCGGTCCCCCGAGCCACCGAGATGGCTGTGTCTCCCTTGCTGGTTGCAGCACAGGCCCTCTGCTTCCCTGCAGAGATTCGCTGGCAGCTGGGTGAGCAGCTGCGCTGTCTGGAGCTGCAGGGCGAGCTGCGCCGGGAGCTTCTGCAAGAGCTGGCGGAATTCGCACGGCGCCGGGCCGAGGTGGAGCTCGAGTACTCTCGGGGCCTGGACAAGCTGGCCGAGCGCCTGGCTAGCCGCGGGGGCCGCCTGGGCAGTGGGGGTCGAGAGCTGCAGAGCTTCCGGTGGGTACCAGGGGCGGGTGGG